TGGAGATGATGTACAAAGATGTTATTCAGGCTCTAAAAGCTAAGGGCATTGAGGATGACCCGAGGAATTATTTGACATTTTATTGCCTCGGTAATCGGGAAGTGAAGAAGAGCGGAGAGTATGAACCTTCCGAAAAGCCAGAGGATGATTCAGATTATCTTAGAGCACAGGAAGCACGGCGGTTCATGATCTATGTTCATGCTAAGATGATGATAGGTACGTGATGCCTGGGAAACTCTTACAAATTTGTTTGCCAAGTTTGATTCTTTACTTTATGAAAAATTCGTGTTCAAAGCTATCGGTGTCAGATATTTTTAAAATGGCGTAATAATAATGAAATGCATCAGAGATGCTGAGAATCATCCAAGCCTAAATAAGCCATGTTGATTCTCTCTCTCTCTCTCTCTCTCACTCACACGCACACATACACACGCAAACCCTTGCTTGCACACACATGTTCACAAAATGAGGTCGTGGAGTTAATCTGTTCTGTGTCTTTTGCAGTTGATGATGAATACATTATTATTGGATCGGCCAACATCAATCAGAGATCAATGGATGGCACCAGGGATTCTGAGATAGCAATGGGTGCCTACCAACCATATCATTTAGCAGGCAGGCAGCCAGCAAGGGGTCAGATTCATGGTTTCCGAATGTCATTATGGTACGAACACCTTGGCATGCTTGACGAGATCTTCCTCCACCCAGAAAGCGAGGGGTGTGTCAGAAAGGTGAATCAGGTTGCTGACAAATATTGGGATCTCTACGCAAGTGAGAGTCTTGAACGCGACCTGCCCGGCCACTTGCTCCGCTACCCCATTGGGGTGGCCGGCGCAGGGGAAGTCACGGAGCTTCCGGGAATGGAGTTCTTCCCGGACACCAAAGCACGTGTTCTTGGTGCCAAATCTGACTACCTCCCTCCCATCCTTACCACCTAATAGGTTAACCTTCTTGGCATGATTTGATGAGAGTAATAACTCAGTAACTCTTGTTCCTCTTTTAATCCTAGTGCTTGTAGTAGAATAAGGCATTGTGTTGTGTCATAACCTGCAGATAGGGTCCGACTTTTCTGTAGAGGCGTGCAGATCAGGATTAAGGAGGTTTGGTTTTTTCGATTTAGGTGCTTGACGGATGTTATTTTCTTGAGTGCATTATGTAGTCTACGTGTCATCATCTTTGTGTTCTGTCATGTTATTTTATGTGATTTCTCATTATTTTTTTTTCTGTAAATTACTAATTTCTCATTTTTTTTTCTCTAAATTAGTAATTTCTTTGGTCACACACTCTAGAAAAAAACAGATATATGCGAGACCTGGAACTTTATGAATGGCTGCAGTGCCACTTGGTCATCTCACGTCATCTAGCACCATTGATTAAGAGTGTGGTGGGATTTTTTTTTTTTTTGGTTGCCCTTGCTTATACGTTAAGTTTGACACGTGGCAAAACACCCTGCATGACAGATGAGGACCCCTGTTATTGCGTGGCAAATAACGGTAGATTTAGCGGAGACTGTCACTCTCCACCTCCATGAAGAATCAAACACACGGAGTCCTTGTCTTGTTCCGATGCCCGACTACTACAAGTGAAAAGAACCAACCTGGTTCTCTTTTCTCTCACCACACGGATTTGGGTTCCTCTCCAAAGCCAGCTGTGGCCACCTAAGCCAACTTGACCTCACTTGTGAACAGCATTCCTCCCCATTTTCTGCCTCTTTTTGGGTTCCGCTTAACGTGCACTGCACTGCACTGCACTAGGCAACAGCCAAACAGAACACCAAAAGCCATCTCATGGAACTCAATTTTTAGCCTTGTGTCTGATGTGAATCCAAAAGTGATTATAATCAATTAAACTGAATATGAAAATGAGTTGAATTAGTTGAAGTATTGAAATTAGTAAGTTTACTTAGCAGTTGTATGAATAAAATGTCTTAATAATAATGATTGATTATTTAATTTAGTTATGATGTAGATCACGAAGGTATTTGATGAATGAGAATTTATAGGTGATGAATTTAATGGAAAAAAATAAGTCCTATCTTGTGGCCTAAAAATATCATACTTTTGCCCTTTTCAGCAAAATAAACTGAAATAATACCTACAATACTACCGAGTCGTTTTGCATGTAAAATCACATTGTTTTAAGAACAATACCCGTATAATAGGGATTTGACTAGGGTACTTCTAAAAGAATTTTGGTATCATATATCTAAAATTTACAACTTCAAATGATGTTTTTATAGCTTTTGTGGTTCATTTTATAAAAAAACAAATTTGCAACTTTTGTGGTTGATTTACCACTTTTTAAGAGTTTTTTTTATCATTATTATGGGTGTTTTTATTATATTTGTAGTAACTATTTTTATAATTTTTTATAGATTCAAAAAAAATTACTGTATTTGTTGGTACTTTATAACATTTGTGAGTTTTTTAACTACTATTGTAGGTGTTTTTATCACTGTTATGATAACTATTTTTATCTCTTTTTTGAATATCACAACAATAATAAAAATACATATAAATATAATAAAGATATTAATAAAAATATAATAAATTTCAATATAACACCAAAATTCAAAATTTTGGTGCCATAGCCAAATACCAATAACAGAGGAGCCAGACCTCAAAATTAGAACTTTAAGATTCTTACGTCTCTTGTAAATCCCCCATTCTCTCTCCTCTCCCAGTATTAGTAATACACTATTCAGTTCTCAATATAAATATCTACCTGTTTTTTATTCTACATTCTCTCTCCTCTCCTATTAAAAAACTACAGAACAACCCACAACACAGACAGAATTAAGTACAACACCTAACCCATTGGTGTCAACTTGTTTTGCAAATTGCAATAAACCCAATTCATTTCCACTTAATTCTCCTCTAATTCCAACCAAACATGTCCTCTATAAGCTCGCAAGTGGTCTTAGCAACAGCCATGGCGGTCTCCGGCACCTTAATTATTCTCTCTCTCTTCCGGGAAAAGCCTCTCTCACCTGCCCAACTTTCTGGGAATCAAGATTCCCACCAAGAAAAGAATATTCTACGTTCTTGTTTGTCTTCAAGTGCGTGGGTCAAATCAACTTTTTTTTTTCTTTCCTTTCCCTGTTCTTTTGTTTTCCGATGGACTTATGCAAATGTATACATGTGTTTGTTGAAATGCAGCAGAAGGCAAGAAAAGGGAGAGAAAGAAGAAGAGAGTCAAATTTGCTGATGTGTGAAAGATTCAAGTTGGGAGGGTAAGTAGTACAGAAAAGACCAGAGGAAGTCGACCGAAATTCTTGATTCTTGTGGAGAAGAAATACGGGGAAATCGCTTTACGCCGGCGAATCGGGTGGCACTGTACAGTGTGATTCTTAGGGATCGCGTGCAACGAATGGAGTATTCATATTGATGAATCTATCAATTTGGGATTTGTTGATATGGGTGGGTAGGGGGCGTAAATGTAAATAAAAGTTTGTGGAAATTATGGTTTCTAATTATTGTAATTTTTTATCTTTTATTAATGGAACATGTAAATTTGTCATTTTATCATTTAATAATTTTAGAGTAGAAAGTGAGTTAGATTTTCTAAATATAGAGAATAAAATTAATACTAATGTTATAAGGGCATAATTTAGGGATTTAATGTATTATAACCATTAGATTAATAGTGAAATACATTTAACACTGAAACCCATCGACAATCCAATAATTACAATCATTAAGTCCCCAAGTTATATACTCAAATTATGTATCAATAAACTCTTAGTTTTCTATCCCCTTTCTACTTCTTAGGAAACCCTAATGGAGTCATCGTTCTCTTACCACCTCAAGGGTGAAGAGAGTATGCCTTCTGGTATGACATACACCTATACTTCTTGATCGTGATTCCTTATATCAACTTGAGTGACTGTTCATTCGTGAACCCTAGTTTTTATATTTGATTCTTAAAACAATTGCTGCAAAAACCTTCTAAAGGAATATCTATGTTTCCTTGGCCATTGCAGAAGTTTAAATCCTTCTCTCTAACGGCAAAAAAATTAGTAATTGCTGATTTCGATAACTTAGATATTATGGAGGGTCTCCAAGAGTGTGAAAGTAGTTTGTTTGGTAAGAGTCTTACGGATAAACCTATGAGCGTAGTGGCACTGAAAAACACAATGACCTCTGTATGGGAGAACAAGTTCTTAAAGATCAATAAAACGGAATCAAACACGTTCTAGTTCTTCTTTCCATAAGCGAAAGCCATGTGGAGAATATTGAACTCGGGGCCGTGGTGTTTTTATAATCATCTTCCACCGTTGGGTGGGGAATCTGACCCTAACCCTAACAAAGTTCGATAAAGCTTTGTTTTGGATCCAAGTACAAGGGTTCCCCCGTGAATGCTGTACAAAAAAAGTAGCACAAAAGGTACCACTTAGTTTTTCCAACACGAGGTTGTGGAAATAAGAGAGAAATTGGGAAATGGACATCGGTTTATGAGACTACGAGTTGAAATTCATGTGCTAACCCCACTTTGAAGGGGAATTAAGCTTCGAGACCAGAATGGAACCATGTGATTTGGTACCTTTCAATACAAGAGACTACCCTACCTTTATTTTTAGTGTGGGATGATGGGTCACATAGGGAAGAACTGTCAAGGAATGAAAATGGATGTCGAAGCAGGCATTCAAAAAGAAAGCCAATATGACCCTTGGCTATTAGTAACTACCAAAAAATCCTTGCATTTTCATAAAATCCAATCAAATGATGGGCCTCCAGGCATGGCTCCGATGAATGCCGGAGATTGGAGGGATCCAACTGATGAACTCAATCCTAGCTGGAATTATAGCGACTCAATGACAGGAGATAAATTGTGAGGATCATTCTAGAAATAGTGGCTTAAGGGGGGCCAACAATTATGTCGTTGGAGAAGGAAAGATGCGAGATTCTCTAGTAAGATCTAAAATTATGGGTATGGAAAGCACTGAACTAGGTGATTCTATGGGNGTTCTCAATATAAATATCTACCTGTTTTTTATTCTACATTCTCTCTCCTCTCCTATTAAAAAACTACAGAACAACCCACAACACAGACAGAATTAAGTACAACACCTAACCCATTGGTGTCAACTTGTTTTGCAAATTGCAATAAACCCAATTCATTTCCACTTAATTCTCCTCTAATTCCAACCAAACATGTCCTCTATAAGCTCGCAAGTGGTCTTAGCAACAGCCATGGCGGTCTCCGGCACCTTAATTATTCTCTCTCTCTTCCGGGAAAAGCCTCTCTCACCTGCCCAACTTTCTGGGAATCAAGATTCCCACCAAGAAAAGAATATTCTACGTTCTTGTTTGTCTTCAAGTGCGTGGGTCAAATCAACTTTTTTTTTTCTTTCCTTTCCCTGTTCTTTTGTTTTCCGATGGACTTATGCAAATGTATACATGTGTTTGTTGAAATGCAGCAGAAGGCAAGAAAAGGGAGAGAAAGAAGAAGAGAGTCAAATTTGCTGATGTGTGAAAGATTCAAGTTGGGAGGGTAAGTAGTACAGAAAAGACCAGAGGAAGTCGACCGAAATTCTTGATTCTTGTGGAGAAGAAATACGGGGAAATCGCTTTACGCCGGCGAATCGGGTGGCACTGTACAGTGTGATTCTTAGGGATCGCGTGCAACGAATGGAGTATTCATATTGATGAATCTATCAATTTGGGATTTGTTGATATGGGTGGGTAGGGGGCGTAAATGTAAATAAAAGTTTGTGGAAATTATGGTTTCTAATTATTGTAATTTTTTATCTTTTATTAATGGAACATGTAAATTTGTCATTTTATCATTTAATAATTTTAGAGTAGAAAGTGAGTTAGATTTTCTAAATATAGAGAATAAAATTAATACTAATGTTATAAGGGCATAATTTAGGGATTTAATGTATTATAACCATTAGATTAATAGTGAAATACATTTAACACTGAAACCCATCGACAATCCAATAATTACAATCATTAAGTCCCCAAGTTATATACTCAAATTATGTATCAATAAACTCTTAGTTTTCTATCCCCTTTCTACTTCTTAGGAAACCCTAATGGAGTCATCGTTCTCTTACCACCTCAAGGGTGAAGAGAGTATGCCTTCTGGTATGACATACACCTATACTTCTTGATCGTGATTCCTTATATCAACTTGAGTGACTGTTCATTCGTGAACCCTAGTTTTTATATTTGATTCTTAAAACAATTGCTGCAAAAACCTTCTAAAGGAATATCTATGTTTCCTTGGCCATTGCAGAAGTTTAAATCCTTCTCTCTAACGGCAAAAAAATTAGTAATTGCTGATTTCGATAACTTAGATATTATGGAGGGTCTCCAAGAGTGTGAAAGTAGTTTGTTTGGTAAGAGTCTTACGGATAAACCTATGAGCGTAGTGGCACTGAAAAACACAATGACCTCTGTATGGGAGAACAAGTTCTTAAAGATCAATAAAACGGAATCAAACACGTTCTAGTTCTTCTTTCCATAAGCGAAAGCCATGTGGAGAATATTGAACTCGGGGCCGTGGTGTTTTTATAATCATCTTCCACCGTTGGGTGGGGAATCTGACCCTAACCCTAACAAAGTTCGATAAAGCTTTGTTTTGGATCCAAGTACAAGGGTTCCCCCGTGAATGCTGTACAAAAAAAGTAGCACAAAAGGTACCACTTAGTTTTTCCAACACGAGGTTGTGGAAATAAGAGAGAAATTGGGAAATGGACATCGGTTTATGAGACTACGAGTTGAAATTCATGTGCTAACCCCACTTTGAAGGGGAATTAAGCTTCGAGACCAGAATGGAACCATGTGATTTGGTACCTTTCAATACAAGAGACTACCCTACCTTTATTTTTAGTGTCGGATGATGGGTCACATAGGGAAGAACTGTCAAGAAATGAAAATGGATGTCGAAGCAGGCATTCAAAAAGAAAGCCAATATGACCCTTGGCTATTAGTAACTACCAAAAAATCCTTGCATTTTCATAAAATCCAATCAAATGATGGGCCTCCAGGCATGGCTCCGATGAATGCCGGAGATTGGAGGGATCCAACTGATGAACTCAATCCTAGCTGGAATTATAGCGACTCAATGACAGGAGATAAATTGTGAGGATCATTCTAGAAATAGTGGCTTAAGGGGGGCCAACAATTATGTCGTTGGAGAAGGAAAGATGCGAGATTCTCTAGTAAGATCTAAAATTATGGGTATGGAAAGCACTGAACTAGGTGATTCTATGGGAGCCATAGATTTGAATGATGGGTGGCGAGAGTCAATTGTCAACGAACTACTAATGGATATGGGTCAAGGTAGTATAGGTCAAGGCCCAGGTATTGTTATACCTGATGAGTCTAATTTAGTGGAGGTGGGCCTAGTCTCTTTAATTTCAGACCAAGCTCATAAGGAATTGAGTCTTAATACTAACGGATTAGTACTTCAATCAAAGAAGTATGAGCTAGGGGGTGGCTTCATCCTACTTGATAAATCAATCCTGAAGGTGAAGCCTCCATCTATAAGAGAAAAGGGAAAGTAGGATGTCTAGGAGGTGCAAATCAGAGCCAAACGAAAAGAACTCAATATACTCCAGGATTGGAGCAAGGTGGCTATGAAGAAGAGAAAACAACTAGATGGGAAACAACAAACCAACCAATTAACGACGAAGACTAAAACCCTAGTCCTACTGACAACCATGATTGGCGTTCTATGAAATTGTCAAAGGCTTGGGAACCCTTGGACAATTTGAGCTCTTCACGACCTTGTGAAGAGAGAAGCCCCTATTTTTGTTTTCTTAATGGAGACAAGGTTACAAGAAACAAAATTTAAAAGAATTAAACACAAAATTGGGCTTACTCAAGGATTAATTGTGGAAGCTCGTGGAAGAGTAGGAGGTCTGGCTTTATTATGGAGGTGAGGTGAGCAACTAGCCGTCAAAAGTTATTCGNATTCCCTCCGAGGTTATCCTGAAAAAAAATATTAAAAACAAGAAAGGATACAATATGACAAGAATAATATGCTCAACGAAAAAAAATATGAATGACCAGATGCCAAATAATTCAGATGATAAGAATTATGGATAACGAAATCAAGAATCACATTCGATAGGCCACATAGCTCAAGTGCTAACAAACACAGAGTCATACTCGGTTCTTCTTGGTGACATGACAAGTGATACCTGGACATATAAATCTATACTAATAATAACTAATCACACCCCCGCAATATTGTAATCACAATTGCACCCCGTAAGGGCCCTAATCACATTTCACCAATTATGCCCTAAGTACACTTTGTACATGTACCAATCAATCATTAGCCCAAAATACAAGTCAACCGATACAAATATCAGAATTTTGTATCAATTAGAATAATCAATAGGAATATAAATTTCAAATAATCAAAAGACACTCTTTGCAAAAAGATTTAAAAGACATGAGTATATTGTATACTACCTCGTACCTCAAAATCATTAATAACTTCAATAGATAAGAAATTCGAGGTACCTTGAGCAAAACACTTCAATTTGGTAATGATCAAAAGCAAAATTCACTATTTAATTTTTGACCCTAAAAACTCATAAATTTCTCTCTCTTCATCTCTCTTTCACCCCCCTCTCTCTCTCTCTCTCTTTCTTCCCTTCCTACCTTGGTCGAATGACCAAGTGCTGGCTATTTATAGCCAAAGTTTTTGGCCAAAAATCACATGTGAATTGGCTTAAGTCATCATGCTTAAGTCACCTAGCTTGCATCACATAGACAATTGTCCATATTTGCTTCATACATATTTTTTTTTTTATAACACATGTCTATTTCTTCTTCCCACCATTTATGTACATGACCATTTTTCTTTCTTTCTTTCTTTCTTTGACACTTATATATCTAAAATATATAAATATGCATATACACGTATTATTCATATATTATATCATTTTAACAATTTGACATTTTATTTTAACACGAAATATGAGCTATATTATAGTCATTCGACTTGTTTTCACGTAAAAAAAATTGTATTTGAGGTTCATTTGTTCATTTGAAATTTTTATAAATGATCATTAACTATATAAGATCATAATTAACAACTTAAATTGCACGTTAGCGATTAATTTTAATACGGGGTTATCACAATCTACCTCCCTTAAAAAGAATTTCGTCCCCGAAATTCAATACTAACCGTGAGAGTAAAATAATTATAAATACATTACATAAATATCTGTTGCGCACTTTGATACCATTTTCAACGATTTACTATATATCACAAGATTTTGATATGAATTCCAACTTATACATCCGTCTAATAGAAATTGGTTGACTTACTCTGCATATTTCAAACTCATATACCTACAGCGAAAGGTGATAGTCTCACTTCCCACAAGACCCATATAAGATCTGATATCTGAGCTCTGATGCCACTTTGTAACGCCTTAGTTTCCTGGATGCGTTACTTGATTAAATCGATCGATCACAATAAACCACAAATAAATCTCTGAATACAGGGCCAAAACTCTAATTGGCTCAATAAATTTATAATTACAATTTTGAACTCCAAATTAAAAAAAAAAATCTCATCAATATAAAAAAAAATATTTTTAAATTATATATCACCCCAATAAAACCACAAAGTTATAAATCTGAAACTTTCTTATATCTTCACTCTAGTCCTTCCCTCTGGAATTATATATCACCACAATAAACCCACAAAATTAAAAATTATATCAAGACTCATCCATCTTCGATTCAAATATCAACTTTGGTCATTCCCTCTGAGATTATCCTGAAAAAATTATTAAANCTTCCAGCTCCCTCTTTTCATGATGGAGACCCTCTTTTCCAAGAGGACGAGGGTGAAAATATAAACATGAAGCATGAGAGCCATATCCATGGTAATTCCAAGGGACCTCCTCCTAATCATTGAGACAAAAAAATTAAGGAGGTGAAAAATCAACTGGGCGACATCTTCAATGCTATAAGGGCACAAGACCCTGAGAAAGTGGACTACCTTGTTAGGCGAACGAACACACCCTTTGTACCTGACGTGGCGAACTACCCGCTTCCCTAAAAGTTCAAAATGTCATCCGTCGAAACCTTTGACGGTACGAAGGACCCACTTGATCACCTCGAAACCTACAAAACTCTAATGCAATTTCACAATGTTCCTGACAGGATCATGTGTAGGGCGCTCCCGACCACCTTGAAGGGATCCACCAGACAATGGTTCGCCAAGCTTTCCCCAGCTTCCATTGCCTCATTTGCTGAGCTGAGCAGGTCTTTCGTGTCACACTTTATTGGAGGATGCCGTCACCAGAAGCCTACCACCCACCTGCTCAGCATAAATCAGGACCGAGATGAGAGCCTGCGAAACTACCTCACTCGTTTTAATGAGGAGGTCCTTCAGGTCAANACAAACACAGCCTCATACTCGGTTTTTCTTGGTGACATGACAAGTGACATTTGAGCATATAAATTTGATGGGCCAAGCCCAAAGGCCCAACTTGTGTTATAAGCCAGGTCCGAATTTATAGCCCGACTCCAAGAGATCCAACAAATTCAACCCAATGTGGTCAACCTAGTCAAGCTCATCAGGCTCAAGGAACTACTACATCAGCAAGGAGTAGGCAAAGTCATCCAAGAGCCTCCTCCTCTACCACCTTGGAATAAGGGTCATTCAAAGGTCTCCTTTACCGCCTTGGAGTAAGGGTCATCCAAGACCCTCCTCTACGCCACCAAGGGAGCATCCAGGAGCCTCACCCTCACAGCCTGGAGAGAGTCAAACTCCTTCATCCTT